CATCCCTGTGTTTAATCAATTAAGCGCACTGATTAATCTATTAGGCACTGAAGAAGTAATTATGGCACCATTATTCACGTGCAGGGCTGGGTGGGTTCTTCTCCGCTTGGAACGAGGACTGTTTCTGAGGCCCCCGTCCTGATGGGTCCTCTAATCATTCCGGATGCATGTGATTCCGCCGGAATGGGGTGGGGGGGCTGCTTTTCGTTCCGGCTTCTGGGCTGGCGAAGCAGATTGAGTCAAGGGTGGGGCAGGGAGGTACAGTCCCTCCATGAGCACCAAGCACCATGAGCCCCAAGCACTTTGATAGATGCTAAATAGGTTGGTCCCCAGGTCCAGTTTCCAAAATCGGGTCCGATCTCCCAGAGAGACACATTCCTGTGAGCTGGGGGTGTCGTCCTCTTGAAGGGCTGAGCAGCAGATGGTGACAGACTGGCATCTTGATGCGTCAGCCTCACAAAATTGCAGCCCCTCATCCACGGCAGATACTCCAGGGCCAATGTGGAAAGACTTGTGGGAAGCCCTCCGGAGAATGCGGCTTCCGCCAAGCCCCGTTTTCCGGAGTAGCACTGGGAGAAGGAGCACCCCTGAAGCTCTGCAAATGTCTCCAGGTTCCATCCCGAAGTGCCTTCCAAAGCAAGTCCGCGTCACACAGCAACTGGGCGACTTTGGGCCGGTCAGACCCCCAGCCTGCCCTACCTCGCAGGGCTGTTGTCGTGGGGATAAGCCTTAGAGCAGCAGGCGACGCATGTAACCTGCCTTGAGTTCTTGTAGGAAAAAAGGCAGGCTATACATTTCATAAATAAATTTTTAAAACGCCCTTGCGCTTGGGAATCTTTACCGTTAGACTAGACTGCAAGGAGCAATTAGACAGCACATACAAATGTGTCCCATCTGAAACCCAGGACTCCTGGGTGGCGGGACACAAGTCTCCAAGGACCTTCAGATTTCCCAGAAAATGCGCCCATGTGCAAATTCCCCCAAAATCTGGAAAATGAGGTTGCAGGAAGAATTTACAGAAGCGCAATGAGGTCAGATACCGCCGGAGAACGCCGTATTCGTTGGGTGGTCTCATTACTTTTGCTGTTGTTAATTCCCTTTCCATCCCACCCCTGGGCAGCTGGAGCCCCTGGGCAGCTGACCGGTCAACGGAAGGGCTTGGGAGCCCGTGGTGGAGACCCCAGCAAGCGGGTGCGCTGGCCGAGCGGGCCGAGAGGAGAGGAGAGGAGACCCCGTGGCCCCTTCCAGAGCAAGGAACACCATCAGCAGGAAGAAAATAAAGGCCCCCAGGGGGAAATGCACCGAGAAGGGTAATTGGGATGATCAATGCGTCTCAGGGGGAGCTGAGGTGGGAAAGGCTGCCAGTTTTACAAGGAGTGGAGGGGATAATTAGGTTTTCATTCATTAGGAAAACACAGAGGAGATTAAGATGGGGAGATGATATGCTTGCGAAGGGCAATGGGAAAGGAGACCAGGAGAGCAATGCGTGGACCCCGGGGAACGGGCGGGCGGGGGGGCAGAGGCAAGCCCGCAGAGCATGTGGCCCCAGCCCCAGAGCCGCACGTGAAGTCCAGTGGGAGCAGAAATCAAAGGTAATGAATTATGGACGGAGCCAAACAAGACTCGGTCGACAGGTGTGATGAAGCCGCGGGGGAACCCTCGCCAAGCCGATCCACCCGGCGGCGGCGCATCCCTGCCTTGGCGCTCCTTTCCCCGATCCGTGATTGCCACGCCGGGGCGCTGCCCATGGCCACGCTCAGGCCATGAGAGCAGTCCAGTAAGGGGGGGAGCTGGCGGATCCCCCCGCTGTGGAGGCGGCCGAGCCACGTGGAGGACGGCAGTGCCGGAGCGGGGCCGTCTGAGCGAGCGAGGGGCTCCCCTTCCTCTGCGCGGTGCCGGGGAGGGCTTCCCGTTCACTCCGGAGCGAGGACTGTTCTCCTGCAGCGCATCATCCAGAAGCGCAGGAAGGAGGAGAACGGCCCCGGCCACCCAACAGAGGCCCTTCCGTGCCGCGCCCGTGGGACGGCCCCTGCGGGCTGCGCTGGCGTTCCTGAACGCTGGCTGCGTGCAGGGAGAGCGCGCGACCTGAGCTGCTTACATAAGCCGGAGGCGACGCGGGGCGGGTGGCCAGGGATGGCCGCCGCAGCCGCCCCCCCAGCCCGCCCACAGCCCTGCAGAGACCTCTCCGGCCCGGATGACGCGTCCCTCTCGGCCCTCCTTCCCTGGCCCCGGCGGGGTCAGCCCAGGCTGCCGAACGAACGAAGGGCACGCGCTGGCTGGGGGGGCCCCAACCTCGCCGTGCACGGGAAGCGCTCGCTTGCTCGCTCGCTCGACGCGGGATTTCTCTCTCCCTGCATCTGCCACCCACCATTGTCTGATTGTTTGTCTGAAAATCCCCGGGTATCTGACACAGCGCTCTGTGCGGAAGGGAAGAGCCGGGCGGGAGGCCGCCTCCGACGGGCAGGCGTGATCACGATCATGATTCGCGTGATCATGCTTATGAATCTCGGGTTTCTGTTTTCTATTAGAGGATGCCTATCGATTCGGAGTGTCAGGCCGGGCTTGCCTTCCCACCCCCTCGCCCTTCAAAGGGGAATTATTTCAATTACAAATCTTTGATTCCTGCTTCCGATTGAGGAGGCATCAATCAATTCGGCTGCTTCGCTGCATCCAGCGGGGCGTCAGAAAACTGAGGCTGAAAGACGCTTCTGCATGTCAAGCCGATTTCACATTCCCTCCCGCATCCCACCCTTGGAAACGGAACGAGACATTTCCCGCTCTCTTGAAATTTCACCTCGGATTAGTATTTCGCCGCTCCCCGTAGGGAGAACGTCCGTGCAGCAGCAGGAGGAGTGGTGCCCGGAGCAGGCGCCTCCCGCTCGGCATCTGGTTCCCCGTCTTCTGGAACGCCCTTTAAGCGGCGCTTGCTCCCTCCTCCGCAACCTGCTTCCAGCCCCGAGACGCGCGTCTTCGCCGCACGCTCCCACGTTGCACTCCAGCGGTGTCTTCAAGGTCAACTTCCCCCAGCTGGATGCCCTGCCAGAGGTTTTGGCTAGAACCCCTATAATCCCGGAGCACCGGACACGTTGGCTGGGGCTGATGGGACTTGTAGTCCAAACCGGCCAGGCACATGGGAGGCGTTCTTTGGTTGCACGTGCACCCGCCGAGGCCAGTGATGCCCACAAGGGCTGCCAGGAGAGGCCCTCTCTGTATTTCCGCACAGGGGTCGTTCCCAGCCGCGCCTGGGGATGCTGGGCATCGGGCCTGGAGCCTTCGATGAGCCCGTCAGCTCAGCTCTCTGGGGGGCCCAGGCCGGGGACGCGGCGGTGCCAGTCCCGAGGAGGGCCTCGCTGCGAAAGGTCGCATCCGGGAGAAGCGTGTTGCGGGAGTGGCGGCGGAAGGCCAGGGGCCCGCAAGACCGGCCGCGTGAGGCTCCGCTCTCCTGCCGGCAGCACCCGGAGGGTCAAGGCTCCAGCGCCCGGGCGCGCGAGGCAGGCGGCACCGGCGCGCGGCACGAACGGGGAGGCGTCCGTTCCTGCCGGTGCGTGGGCCCACGGAGGGCAAACCCAGCGAAGAGACGCGGCATCGAAGAGAGGGTCCCTCCCGCTTCGTCAGGCGCAGCAGGGCAAGGGGGGTCCGGCCCCCAGGCACGCCCACGCTCCCGGCCTTCCTCCGAAGACCCCCAATGGGCTTTGGGACAAAGAGGCCTCCAGCTCCTGCAGCAGCCCTGGTGGCCTGGGACGACATGGCGTTTGACTCGGAAGGCCACGAGTCTGGGCCTTCTCCATGGTGGCGGCGGGGGGGGGGGGGGGGGGGTTAGGGGGAGAGAAAGAGGCGCAAGCACACCTGTGTGTGAGAAAGTGTGTTGCCGGGGCGAGTCAGGGCAACGGAGAGGTTAAGGCAGGCCGTCATTTCCGTTCTTGTTTTCAAAGCCAGAGAAGTGTACTTAAATACGGGGGGCTTGCTCTGCGCTAGGCGTGGAATCGCAGCTTGCAAAAGAGCAACCAGCTTCAGGATGAGCACGTCGCACGCATGCTCCTGGGTCTCTCTGTGCACCTGTCCTGGGGGCAGGCGAGGCACCGAGACCAACCTGTGCATTCATGTCGGCCTTATATCCGGATTTGCAACCATGGCACTCAGTCAAGAAAGCGGCGCGCAACTTCGGCCACCGAGCGAAAGCCGGACTTCCCCAGACGGGGCAGAATTCAAAAGCAGCAGCAGGAAACACACGCGCCCAAGAAAGCACCACACGCCCACCACACGCCCACGCACCACCGTGACAAGACGGTGTTCCAAAGGTGGGGGGTGCCACACCAACGGCCCCCGAAGCTCTGCCCCCCCTCTCCCCAGAACCCCCACGGGGTCCCCCAGTGCTCAGCGCTCCAGCAAGTTCTTGGGCAACAGGGCAAATGAGCCGCTTCCGCACCCCGAGATGCCGTGGGGCTCTTGCCCCAGAGAAGGCGAAGCGGAAACAGGCAGCCAGCACAGGGGGAGACCCAAAACTCTGTCTGCGCTTCGGCCGCTGCACGGGGGCTGCGCCAGGAGCAGCGGCCAGCACAGGGGCCTCTTCCAGCCGCTGGGGCTCTGAGCCTGCCCTCGGAACCGCCCGGAGCTCCCCGAGGCATCGCTGCCCGGAGAGGACGGCGAGCGTCTCTCTGGGAACAGGGCCTCTCGCCACTGCAGGTCCCCGGAGGCGCCTCCGGCCCTCAGCACCCGCCTCCCACACCTGAATGGCGGCAAGGCTGGTGCTCAGTGCGCTGAGCCAGGTGGGCTGCCCAGAGGCTGTTGGACTACAGCACCCCTCATCCCCAACTAACTGGGGCGGATGGGCACTGGCCATCGGCACTGCTCCTCACCCCGAGCTAGAGAGCGAGATGGGGAGTGCTCGAAGCCCGGGCTGGCAGCACAGCTCGGCCCTGCACTCGCCACACGCCCCGAGACGGCAGGGGAGGGTGCACCTGGATCGGGGTGGGGGGCTGGTGCCATGCCGCCATGCTTACCCGGTACCAGACGATCTCCCGCATCCTGCCGTCCGTCTTGAAGTTGCATTTCAGCGTCACGGCATCCCCCACCACCACAGGTGGCAACGGCTCGATGCTGACCGTCAGGTAACCTGGAACAGAGAGAGAGGGGCAGGTGAGAAGGAGGGCGACGCGACCCCCAGGAAGGCTCTCGCTGGCGCAGAAGCCCAGCGCCTCGTGGGCCCCCTTTCAGCTGCAGAAACACGGGGGATGCATCTCCCCCCCACCCCAAGCGAAAGCCTCCGAAGGCGCATGATGGGGGAGCAGGCGCATTCGGCCAAACCTGATTGTGCCCAAGTGGCCGCCAGAAGGAGAGCTGCCAGGCAAGCCATGCAAGGTTCGACCTGGTGGATTCTGCAGCTCCCGCACCAGCGAAGAACCCGAAAACACACGCAGGAAGCAGCGTGGTCCCATCTATCCCGAGCGCGAAGCCGCCGAGGACACACGGCACGTGCGCCAGGCGCTTCCCCCAAAGGGGATGTTTTCTTTCGCACCCATTAATCTCTTCAGAATATACTGCCAAGCACTCTCAGGGTGTCCAACAGTTTAAAATAATAAAAATGCAGCTGCGCCTCTTATTCCTAAAGAAAAATTGTGTTCCCGTGGAAGCCCAGCAAAGCAAAATTGAAAAACACAGCCAAAAAGGCAGCCGTTCATTATATCCCGCGACTGAGTGTGAGGGACGGCCTGGCGAGGGCGGGACGTTGCCTCAGCCCCTTGCGTGGGGCCAACACAACCAGCTGCGCTGGTGTGCGGGAGCCGTTCCACGTGGAGCAAGGGGGGCTCCTGCGGCCCCCACCAGGCCCACTGGGGTGCCCCGGGGACCCCCGACCCCTTCCCCAAAGCCCCAGTCGCTGGGCAGCTTTCTTGGGATTCCGTGCAGCTCCCCTTCCCCAGCCTAGAAGCTGAGTCACCAGCCTCATGAGGGTGCCATGGGTTGGGCCACCTGGGCTCAGCCCTGTGAACCCCTGGGCCCCTCCAAAAGTCTTTAGCAGGGAGTCCAGCCCTCGAGCTCCACATCCCTGGACCCACTGCCCCAGGGGCTTGGAAGCCGAATCTTCCAGCCTCTCTCCAGCACGACCTGCAGGCCGTAAATTTGTGCTCAGCTTCTCCTAACATCTTCGGGGCATCTTAACATGCCTTGATGGAGACAGATCTGCGGCCATAATTTCCCTGTGTGGCCATGTCTAATTCTTAAATATTGTTGGATCCGTTGCTAAACGCGTCTTAATGGGCAGAGAATCGGTGTTCATGGTGAGAGAGGCGGAAGACGGATGGAGCCGTTTGGAGCAATGGACCATGGCGTTAACAGCGGCCTCCGTGTCCACGGCACAGGAAGAGGAATGGCCATCGAAGGGAGCGACGGCCGGGGTCATTTTTCCTCTGCCTTCTTTTTTAAGGAGGAGCCGATTGACATTTCCTCTCTATGCTAAGGAATCTCAAGGAGGCCTTGGAAAAATTCTGGTGGGGTGTGTATTTGGAGAAAGAGGTGCATCCTGACATTTGAGGGACGCTGTACACTCTTCAAAACATGTTTGAAGTTTGGGAGTTCTGAGAACGTTGTGCATTTTCTTTCAACATGCAAACGCTGCCCACACAAACACCGTCTTGGGAAACTGTCAAGATTTGCAGAACACACGAGGGCCACTTGTGGGGTTGCGAATAGGGCAGAATTTTGCGGAGCGAAACGACATGCTCCTGTCTCCCCAGAACCAGCCCGGGGAGGCCGTTGTCAGTGCGATCCGCTTTGAACCACGGCGGCCTGGGAACAGACGCTTCTCTGCTCTTTCCTTCCAGCTGGAGTGGGGTGAGGGGAGGGGGGAAACAGCTTTCCTGTAACCCAAAAGGAGACTCCCCTCCCAAACACACTGAGCTTTTAGAAGCGATGTCTCTACCATTCAAAAGAAATGCATCTGGAGGCCAGCAAAATCTGCCGGAGGCGTTTCTATTCCTTTTGTACAGGTTCTGTTAGCAAAACCAAAGACTCGGGAAGGACAGGCCGAGAACTGGATCAGCACTTCGCTCTTCACGTCCACCGAACGCAGCGTCTCCAGAGCACCTTCTCTCCTTGGACCGGCAGCAGGACTGGCCAGGAAACGTTCACACGATGCCCGGCTTTCGTCGTGCCATTTGGCTCCGGCCGCCCGAGGACTTGCCAAGCAGGCGCTCTCCCTTCTCTTCCTGGCCCTTCTTTGGTGTACGTGTGCTTGCAGGCGCTACAGGTGTCTGGTGAAGGAGGAAGCCCATGGCCAGCAAGGCTCGCAGTCACCGATCGCCTCTTTTTCCACAGATCTGTCCAACCGCCTTGGCAAGCCCCCCACGTTGGCGGACCTCACACGACTTGTGACAGCAACTTCCAGAATGTAATTATACACAGTGTGAAGAAGGACTTCCGTTACAAAAATGAAAAAGAAAGAAAAAAACCCTGAAGCACAACCCTCCAAATCTTTTGGCAAGTTTGGAGATGCAGCACCACTTGCAAGCCCGATCGAAGCGTGGAGGCCAAAGGCTCGAGCAAAAGCAGCTGGGTTTTTAAAAATCAGGTCCTCTGCCCGAGCGCCATGCCAGATGCAGCGCACCCACGTCGCCCGGCTGGGCTGAACAGCCGTGGAACAGAACCTCGGGGGAAACGCGCTCCGGGTCGTGGGCGATGGGAGGGCGAGGGAAGCCCCCCTGGGCCAGGCCCTGGGCCCACCCGGTTGAGCACCCCGTTCACACACCCGCCGCAGGAGGTGAGTGCAATGGCCCCCCTCGTCCATGTTCCCCAGCAACCGGTGCGCACAGGGACACTGCCTCTCCGACTGGAGGCACCACGGAGCCCTGAAAAGCCAGCCTGTGGGATGCAGGACTCGGAGAGCCCCAAAGCCTTCCCAGACATCTGCTCTCCGCCCTTCAAGCCGGGTCGTCGCCCTTCTCTGAGCAGCCCAGGACTGGGAATGCTGGTGATCTGTTCTGCAGAACGGAGGAACGGCGATTTCCAGTTGTCCTCTTCCAGGCGTTGCCAAAACATGCCCGACGTGGAAGCAGTTGGCTTTTCTCTTCCCCGTGGGGGAACAGCGACCAAAAACATGCTGGGAAGGAGGCACAGCCCTAAAATATTCTCACTGGGCCAAGGGAAGGACTCCACCAGTGCCGTGCCATTCAAGACATCTCGGCCCCCAAACCTCCGTGCCCACGCCGTCATCCGCTTGAGAGGTAAATTGCAGCTCTTGTCGCCATAATCCATGATGGAACCGCAACAGGGCTTCGTTCCGCGAGGACCCTCTTCACATCAGATTTCATTGCCGTGCTGAGGAAATGACTCAGGAGCCAGCAATGGAGAAATGTAAATAATTCCCTAATGGATCTGTCATGCGGGGGGAGGGGGGTCGCAACGCCTGGCAAAGACGGAAGGGGTGGGGCGAAGACGCAAGCAGCGCGGCCTGGGCGGCCCAAGGCACGGGGGGGGGGCATGCTGAGCGGCAGAGGCCCCGTGTTCAGCCCCTCTTTGGCAAGGAGGCCGCGTCTGCTCGCAAAGATGGGAAAATGAGGGGCATCGGGTCTTCCCGTCTCAAAATAGCTACAATTTCTAGAACGTAAAAGCAGAACTGAGAGGGTGGGAGTGTCGCCTGCCTTGTGTGGCACAAGCACCAGCTCCACCGGCGCTTCCTTGAGTCCTCGCGCACACAGAGAGGCTGAAAGGGTCCTTCGCCTTGGATTTCAGAAGCTTGAACGGCCTTGGATGCAGCCATGTTGCATTCTTCACCCTGGACATACCAAGTTGGGGAGGTGGGGGTAGCACAGGATTGGTCCATTATTGAAAGTGAGGCAAAGCTGGGGGGGGGGGTGGGGCAGAAATGGGGTGGGGGTTTCCCACCCTTTCATGCTTCTTCAGCGGTCTCCCCCATTCCACCTCCTCATCTATTCACAACTGATCCTAGCCAATCAGCGATCATAAACACATTACAGGGTGATTCTAGCCCATCAGTGATCCCTTTTCTAGTGCAGTGGACAATTCCCAAAGAGGGCGGCTTCTTCAAGTCAGATGAAGATTTCATGAGTAGGACTCCTCCTTTCAGTTCTACCCAAGTCGATACTTTCCATGCAATTCCCCAAAGTGTTGCCAAGGAGGGGTACTTGCTTCTGCAGCTCCACCAACGAACGGCTTTGCACCGTCACCAGGCTGGGCTCCCCAGTGAGCCAGCCTATCGATCAGCCAATCAGGAAAGAACGTCACACTCCTTAACCATCAAAGCCCAGCTCAACACCATACCAGTGACAAGGTAATGCCACTGCCAAGGAAAAATGAGAACCACGCGGGGGTCTCGGGTATGCACACAAAAGAGTTGCAACCAAGAGAAGGCTGACTGCTTTCCCTCCAGTTTCATCCCTGAGCCCCCCACACCCACCCATTCAAGCCAGGAAGGGCGCCCAAGATGGCCAGGATTCAACAGAAACCGTCTTGCTGCTCTACCCATGCCCAGCTCCCATTCACTCTGCGTGAGCAGACTTGCGGAAGCGAGCACGGCCCCAAGGGGGGAGCTCTGCAGGGATCCCCGGATTCGCACAACTTTCTCCCCAAGCCAAAGAGGCCCGGCGTCCTCTACACAGGACAGCTGCGTAAATTAGGACGTTTGAGCAGCTTAGACTGGGAATCGGGAACCAGAAGCACAAAAGAACGAACTCAGAAGTCCTGGAATGTTGTCCACAGATGCGCCTCCACTCTTCCTCGGAGGCGCAAACGTGGGCCTCTCCCACGATTTGTGAGCAGAAGCCAAATTCCCGGGCCGCCCGAGCCAAAACCTGCGAGCCAGGAAGGAAGCAAGAAAGCAGTTCCACGGGCTCCTCCGACACTGCTCTTATCCTGCAGCAAAGCCGCGCCTGCTGAGGCAGTTGGAAAACGAGCCGCGTCGCTTCTAATCTCGATTTCATACCCCTGCGCAGCTGCGCCCGGAGAGAAGCGTTTAGTTTGGGTGACTTGCAAGTGGCTTTTCTTCTTCCGTCCCCCCTTCTGCCCACCTCAGCCAGCCAACGTGCTCAAGCGGCTCGGGAACAAACCGCTTCTCTGCCAAACTGGCTACACGGCCGTTGCCTTCAGGGCGAACAAGCCCTG